CACAACCACCTAATAAAACTACTCAAAACTCCCATTCCTACTCTCAGGTTACTTCCAATAACCTACAATTTAACAATAATTCCGAAAAAAATAATGACCAAAACTCAACAGACTTTACTACAGTATTAACGAATTTTATAACTGAGTTAAAATCAATAATCACGCCACTTTTGTCCCTCTTGACCACAGTCATTTCATGCCTTGTAGATAGAAATGCCGTCTAACACCATCACTTCTAACTCCCTCCTCATCCTATTATTTACCACCGTAATTAATAAACTAATTTTAAATAATGATAAATAATCAAATAAATAATAAACCACTTAAAATCATTCTCTGGAATGCTAACGGCCTCAAACAAAAAGAATCCGAACTATTAAACTTTCTTTTAGAGAATCAAATTGATTTAGCTCTAATCACTGAAACTCATTATACTTCCAGTTTCAAACATTTTTTCCCGGGTTACAATATCTACAAAACCAATCATCCGGATGGTACGTCACACGCGGGTACCGCTATTTTAATCTCATCCTCAATCGAACACCATCCACTACCGTATTTTCAAATCCCTACCATCCAAGCAACAAGTGTCTCAATTTCAATAAATTATATTCCTATAACTTTTTCAGCAGTATACTGTCCTCCTCGGCCATGTATATATCAGCTTCATTTAGACCAGTTCTTATCCTCATTAGGGCGTACATTTATTGCCGGGGGAGATTTCAACGCCAAACACCTCTTGTGGGGTAGTCGGGTTGAAAATCCTAGAAGTCGACTATTTTATAATTCTTCGTCCGCTCCATGGTATGTTTCCTACCTCACCCTTCACAATGACTTACACATCGAATCAGTTGAAAATTTAGTTAAGACTCATTATAAAAAAAACTACACAAGCCAGCACACAGCTACCATCCCGGACAACCCCCCTCGTCGTCTTAAAAGACGTTGGTGTCGAGACCTCCTAAATTGTAATGCTACCGTTTAATTTCTAGCCGTAACATGTCATAGGGTCCTATCACTGGATAGGTTCCCTACCCAAAGTCTCCAAGTCATATATTTACTTTGTTAACATATTTGCTTATTGTATATTTTATGTACACATTGTAAAAGTTTTAAAAAAAAATTAAAAAAAGGTATCCGTTTAATCAGAGAAAAAAAGCTTTGGTAAAATTAAAAATTGTGATTTAATAACACGTTTAAATGGCCGATACATTAAAAGCGGAGAGAATTTTTTTAAATTTTTATCAATTTCAAATGAGTATCTCTTTGTAATGTATGAATAAAAATATAATTTTTGTTCACTGATTCTTTTAGCTTCGATGCAAAACGAGAAGGTATTGGTTTTACTCTGATGTGTTTTTTTTTATCTGTATACACTAAAACTTTTTTAATACTGGACCAATTCCTTCGATTAGCAACATTATAAATCACAAATTTCATCTAGTTGGTACTTTGAGGGGGTAATATTTGAAAAAGTTTACTTCTTCACAGATGAAAATTGTTATACATGTTTTGCATATTGTTATACTATTATTCATCTAAAGAGATTCACGCTTGATTGTTTAAATTATCTTATATAAGATATGTAATCTGCTTCGTGCTAGTTTTAATTTTTTGGTTTATAACTTTGTACCTCTAATTTTGTATAAAATATTTCATTATTTTATTACTGTGTTCAAGTTAAGATATATTTTAATAATATTTAAAAGTCATGAATGATAGTACTTTATTTTATGACTAGATCAAATCTTGTGAACATTTAACATCATGATACTGCTCCTATACTATTACTAAAAAAACACAATTTTTAAAATCTCCATAAAAGTTTATTGTTAAATAACAGGCAACAGCCGACCGCTAGTGGCTATACACGTTAGTAATATTTAACTAATAAGTAATATATGTAGGTAAAATTTATTGTTTTCTCCATCACAGTACCATTATACGATTTATTTTAATTTAAATGTAAGAAAATCAATTTTTCTTTAGAAAATAACAAGAAATTAATATACAGGATGGGGCAGTAAAACGGCGATTTTCTAATGTATTTAAATGGGAAAACCCGTTTCACTATCCCACCCTTTACATTTTCAGGATCTATGAAAAGGTTTTTTTAGTTGAATTTTATTTTGTACATTGTCAATCTAGTAAAATAGAAGTATAATATAGCTTTGAAATAATATTATCTATGAAGTATAAATAGTTTGTGTGAGATTGCTCTAATGGAAGTTTATAATACATAAATATTAATTTTATTGAGAATATGCGATTATAATTTCAACTATGTAAATTGTAAATGTGTTATTTAGTCCACTACGTTTTTGCAAAAAAAAATACAGTACAGTGGGATCGGGGCATAGTGGTGACGGGGAGGTCACAGGTTTACAGACATTTTTAAATCTGAAAGTGATAAAATCACTTTCGAAAAAACACTTCGATGCAAATCGGTAGTTAGTATTTTCAAGCCAGTACAGTCCAAACCAAGCACAGTATAAACCAGCAAAGTTAGAAAGTTTTAAATTAAGGTTCTGTATTTACAAATGAGCATCAAAGCGTTTAATGGAAAGTGATTTTATTCACTTTTATTTATAATAATTCCTGTAGACCTTTGACCTCTCCGTTTTCTCATTGCTTTGATTACATTACGCCTATACTGTACTGTACTAGTCCTATCGGATAAAATCAAAATCAAATTAACGCTGTGATGCTCATTTGTAAATACAGAACCTTAATTTAAAACTTTCTAACTTTGCTGGTTTATACTGTGCTTGGTTTGGACTGTACTGGCTTGTAAATACTAACTACCGATTTGCATCGAAGCGTTTTTTCGAAAGTGATTTTATCACTTTCAGATTTAATAATTCCTGTAAACCTGTGACCTCCCCGTCACCACTATAACCCGACCCCACTGTACTGGTTTTCTTAAAAACTATTTTAAATAAAATGGCTATCTTAAAAAAAAAAAAAAATGATTTAAAAAAATAAAACAGCCAAGTGCAATAAAAACTGTGGTGCTTATAGTGTAAATGGGTATAAATTATTTTTGAAAATAACTACTATATAATACCACTAAACAACGGTATACAACGATTAAGAGACGTGTTGATGACAACTTAAATATTTTAATGTGTATAATAATAATTGATAAATATCTTATTCAAGTTAGTACTAAAAATTAAGCTTTCTTTTCCGGTAAAAGAAAAACATTTTTTTTCCAAATGGGAAACTCTCTGTCAATTGAAATCAAGACGCTGCTTGTTGATTGAACTGCCGTTTAAATGCTCAGCCGCTTATATTAAAGATGATTTGATGTGTAAAGTAAAGATGCTCTGATATTTGGAATATTACTAATAAACAAGACGGCGGTGGCTCAGAAGTAGGTTACTACGGCGGCGCCAAACTAGGTTACGGCGGCACTTCCTAAACGTACCGGTTTGATATTCATCGGCGCAAAACGAAACGTACCGGTTTGATATTCGGCAGCGCAAAACGAAACGTACCGGTTTAATATTCAGCGGCGCAAAACTATGGAAGGGCGGTCCGTCAGCGGAGGCCGCGGTAGCGCTGAACGATCGAACTACGGAGGGGACGATCGAACAGCGGCGGTGACAATTACACGTCGACACAAAACTAAACGGCGGATGCCCACTTTTCGCACTATTATATTATGTAAAAAGAAATTGGTTATCTGAATGGCAAACAGACACCCCTTTTTTAAGGCCGGAATCCGTAAGTTCGCCCACTGTTATAATGTAACTAATGGGTTACCGCTGCCACCAGATGATGTAAATGGATAGGCCGGACAAAAAAAGGTGTTTTTGAAAAAGAAAGAATAACCAATATGTTTTATGAACTAAAATATACTGTAGATTTTTATTAGAGGTTCTGCTATAATGTAATACTGAATTCCGACTGACTAGGCGATTTCCTAGTGTCAACCGATGGGCCTAGGACACCCGACACCAAAGGTTTCGTCATAACCACGATGACACTTGCAATCGCATTTAATACCAATATAACGCTACACAGAGCATTCCAAACTATTATGAAATATGCTACACTACAATATTGTATATTATTCTAAGATAAATGCATCTAAAGTTCATCCAACTCTATATAATGCGTACTTACGAAGTTTGATAGTATAACTTATGGCCTTGATGTATAATGAATTGGAACTAGTGGATTAAATGTTGTAGTAGCTTTAGATGCGGGAAAACGTTGACAACTAGAAAAATATATTAAAAGTGAAAAGTTTTAAAATTTTGGAAGTTTTGGAAGTTTTGGTAGTATTACATACTATAACAATTGCAATGATATTTAAACCGGCCGTTTTAATGGTTTTTTTACAACTTGTCGAACAATATCTGTTTTTTTCGACTGAAAAAATCCAATGTAAATTTGTGTCAATCACTTTATTGTCAATACATATTTCTTATAAACGTGTTTTTTTTTGATATTATAGGTTTCTCGGATAAAAAAACTGTACTACAAATATGTGATATATATATTGTTCATCGCTATCTATTGGAATAATATATACAGGGTGATTCTATTTGGGTAAGACACTCATTTTCTCAGAATATATTAATATTTTTAACAATATTGTTTTCCAATATTTTTGGATACCTACACATTGTACTATAATATTTTTATCACCATCCCGTATAAGCCAAAAAGAAGGATTTTTTGTTTTTTTAAATAGCAACATACGAGTATGTTTTTATATTACATAAATTTATAGAAAAAAAAAAAAAAGTATATGTTAGCGTTTTAATTTTATATTTTCGTTTACTTTATAAAGATTACTTCATTTCCTCTTAATAATTATCATATTTCATCGGTTTTCCAAATCGCTAGCATATAAAAATCATAGGTACGCAACAATAAAAATAATAACTCTTAAGCAACAAAATATGAGTTTAAAATTTTGAGCAAACACCATTTATTTTAGAAAAACCATAACAATAAATGACAATTTGGATGTTAGTACAATAAGTAAAAATTATTAATAATATTATAGAAATATACATTTATTACTAGTCTAAAATGTTGTGGTTGTTAACTGTTTCTCAAATTGTGGGATACTAGAATCGTAGAGTAGCTGTACATTTAATTCTTCTATTTTAGTATCCATTTTATTGACATTTACTTGCCAATATATACCCTCAAATGATCTGTATTTTACAGCATTCCTGTCCTTATCATATACTACACAAATATCAATACCCCCGTAATCACGTGCAATAGCAAACGGTAATGAAGCCGTTTTTGAACTAATCCACATTGCTATCAACGTACAAATTTTATGAACTGAATATTTCTTTACATCTGTAATCTGCTCAGCTAATAATTAAGAAAATAGTTGTTAAAAATTGCCAAATTCATCATACATTTTTTGGATTAATTTTTTATCATTATATTTCAGTATTTTTTTTATTTTATTAGTATGACTCTTGTATTTTATCAATTTTTTTGTATCTTTACCATTCAAAAAAATGTTCTAATGAAAAATAAACTCGGCTCGTTAGAAAAATTTATGATTTTTTTTCGAATCACAGAAAGTCATTAAAATTGAGTTCTTAAACTAAAAAGGAGTTTTTGTTTTGTGCCCAATATTTAAGAATTATTCTAATATTTATTTAGAAAGCTGAAAATGTGTACATTACAAACTAGATCTCCATAAACATGATAGAAAAAACAAAAAAAATGAAAATGTATAGAAAAGTTAAAAATAAATTGGTCAATGTCAAATATGACAATTATAACATAAAGCCGATAAAGCCCCTCTGCTCTAAAAATATTTTTTAATTGAAAAATAACAAAAATTAAAACGTCTTCAAAAATAAAAACCACAAATTCTCATGCAATTAAAAAAAAATGAATGTGATATCTATAATAATTAATCCGCTGTAGAATTTAGGTGTTAAAAAAAAGAAATACCATTAAAAATGTATATTTATATTCACCTAATTTTTGAGTTAGTACATTTCTTATAGCTTTTTTAGTTAGAAGTCTTCTTGCCTTTCCAAGTTTGGTCAATTTAATAATTGCTCTACCTATATAAACATACACAAATATGTATAACTGGGTTGAAAATATAATATTTATTAATATATTCGCATATTTTTTAATTTTTTAACTTAACGTCTTAATGATTAAAATGAGAGTGGGAAGAAACGTAAAAATATATAATAAAAAGATTATCAGCATCGTTGGTGGAGTCTAGAAAGGGTGCAAAAAAAATGGAGATCAGCGTTACTCCGAAGATCATCCAAGGTTAGGTTGAAAAAAGTGTGGACAGCGATGTAGTCGTGAAGAGCGTGCTGTATTTTTAGTAAAAAGACGACACACGCTAAAAATGTATTCTGTATTTGCTCAAATGTTAGCTGAACCATTGTTTGGTAAGAGTGCTAAAAGACCTCTCCATATTCTAGAACCCTTAAAAGAAGTCTCCCCAACTAAAAGTTTACTTAATTGTAATTATTGTGTAAATAAAAGAATATATAAAGCAAATTTTATTTTTCTAACAAGCCGTAAACTCTATTTAATACTAACGAGTAGCTTTGTAAATTGTTTTGTATTTATCATCATGTACAGTAACAGCTGTAATAAAAATATAAAACAATTATATAGTTAATCAACACTGGTTGTAATTTTTATCTATAACAGTCACTCGAAAAATACCATTATTTTAACCAATTAATTACCACACAAAATCTGGTATTACATAAAAAAGATGGCTTTAAGGCCATGTCAGCTACCACCATTAAGTGATCTTCAAACTTTAGAAAAAAACAAAGAAAGTACAGGAAAATTGCAGTTTGTTGGAAAATATCACAATATGACATTTTTTAACATACAATGACAGACGAAGAAGGTATGTCCAGTCAAGAAAAACATTAAGTTTAGTATGTAAAAGGCAATAATCCACAGATAAGGTAATACTAAAAAAAATGATCTATGTAAAAAGATCAGAAACCGCTTCGTAAATAAATATTTATAAAACTAAATGTATTGTTTAAATAAGCTAAAAGTTATATTCAATACTAACGAAAAACGTAATAATTATTTCAAAAGGCAATCGGATATACAACAGAAAGAGATTACTTTGTAATTACTTTGGTTTTTATCATCAAGTGAAGGAATATCTGTAACAATTATATAAAAATAGTTTATAGTTAATCATCCTGGTTTATTATATTTACCCATGACAGTTCTAGCTAATCAATACCAAATATTTTAGTATTAACATAAAGCCGAAAAACCCCGCCCTGCTCTAGAAAATAATTTAAATATTTTGTAGTATTGAAAAATAACAAAAATTAATGAGTCTCCAAAAATAAAACCCATAATTTATCATTTAGTTAAAAAATAATTGATTGTGTTATCAATTATGAAACATCCTGTAGGAAATACATGTATTAGAAAAGCAATACCACTCAAACTCTAAATTTAAATACTCACCAGATATTTGGTTTCGTAAATTATGTAAAGCTTTTCCAGTAAGATAAGTTCTCTTTTTTCCAAGTGTGGTTATTCTTAAAATTTCATTATCTGCATAAATTCATATATTACCGTATGTAAAATACAAAAATTGTTAATAAATTGGTATTTATGTTTTTATTTTAAAATTGTACGCCCTGATGTTATATATTATGGTTCCTTAACTAAATTTTAGTTTAATAAAAATTTAATGTAAATAAAAACAATAAAGGCAATTTTATCATTTATTCAAATCATAACTTTTTTTTTTAATGAACGATTAATTTTGTATTTACTTTCGTTTGGATAGATCATAGGAATACCTGTTACAAAAAAATAATATAATTGTACAGTTTATCAAGACCGGTCGTTATATTTATCCATAACATTCATTTTAAAACAAAAATTTGGTAATTATTTTACTAATTATTTAGTGAAAAATAGATTATTAACATAAAATTATTCTCTATTAACGTTTAAATAAATACTTTCTGCACACTGAATTTAATAATAATCTAAACTTTTATGTTTATTTTGTTTGTTTTTTGTATTTGACAAGATATTTTGAGCTGTTATTCCTTGATGAAACTAGTTATATTCCGTATACTTTGAAATTGTTTAAACATTTGTTTGAAATCCCCAAAAATGTAATTACCTAATATTTTTTTCCACACTCACATTTCGTTGTGCTCTTTGGCCTTTAAAAATTGAGCATTTTATATTTACCTAATGTCTGAAATAATTTCTGTTGCAGAGTATGTGTTTGTATCAATCTGGAACCTACATTTAAAAATAAAATAAACATTTAAATTGTATGTAATCCCTTCAGCTCTACATTGTCTTCTTTTATTCTTAATATAATATCCCTGTTCTGTTCCGCATCTCGTCCTCTGGCAAAATCGTTCAATTCCTTTGGGTTCCAGGGCACTGTGGGATAATTGGTAATGAGACTGCCGATTCCCTAGCCACTTCCACCGCTTCCTTCATTTTGCCTCAAGGCCTAAACACTACTTTTTCTGACTTCCTTCCAGGTTTAAATAAAAGTATATTTCAAGTTTGGCAGGACAAATGGTCCTCCCTACCTCCTAACTTTTCCTCTTGGCATCGCTCAATCTGCCCTATTATCCCTCGCAGGCTTTGGTTTCATGGCCTCAATCTCACACCTAAAGATATTTCTTCCTTTTCTTGTTTAAGATTTGGACACAACCTTCTTCCCGCTTTCTCTTTTCTCATCACTTTGAACTCCTCTCCTCATTGTACCTTGTATGATTTACCAGCCATTTGTGATTTTTCTCATCTCCTTTTTCATTGTCCCACTCTCTCTTCCCATAGAGATATCTTTTTTAACCTCCTATCTTCTTTGGGTACTCTTGTCCCAAAATCCTATAACATTCTTAATTCTCGCTCCGTTCCTATCATCCAATCCATCCTCAAATTCATCCTTGATGCTGGGTTTCATACCTAATTGTAAGTAAAGCTATTTTAACAATATGTCCTTTTTGTATTTATATTTTTTCTTCCATTATTGTTTTAGTTTGTATATACCAATGTTGTGCATATAATTTTGTGCGAAGCATTACAAATATGACATTTAAAAGTTTATAAAAGTAGTAATTTATTACCTTGTAAATGATCAAAGTTGCAAGTTACTGCAAGTTCTGAAATTAAATCGAAAACATTGTATACTTAATGATTATCAAACGATTGTGTGGAAATATTTCCATAAAATTTGATTAAAATTATTACCCGGTACAGTGAACATTTCATTAATAGACTCTGAAATTAGCAATACAAAATAGGGATTGAATTTAATTTTTTATTATATCATAAACTAAACTAAAGAAAAGTTAAGAAAAAATAATATGTGTATAAGTAATTCAGAACAAAATGCTTAGCTATATTTGAAACCTAATGAAAATACAATAGCTGTATTAAATCGTATTGGGGATTATAATAAGATGAAATAAAATGTATGTTTTTTAAACATTTTCTCTAACCCTTTCACTGTCGTGGACGTACTTTTACGTACTAATCAATTAAAGAAGTACGAAACAAGTTACCATTATAGTAATGGTTGGGACATGTTGCAGTTTGAAAAACACAATGGCAGTAATAGGGTTAAAGATATAGTTTTGATGTTTTTTGTATACAGTTAATCCATAACCAAATTGCTTTTTATTAATACATAATTATTGTTACTCGAATCAAAGCAGTTTGTTTGTATAAAGCATTTAATTACAAGCTCCAATCCATCTAGAACAAATAAAAGTTCCGAATAAACTCAAAATGTATATGAAAAGCATAAAAAAATATTACACCATACATAAGGCAACTCCCTCAGTTCCTAAATTAGTTCATTCCTGCGGTAAAGTTCGCTCATAGTAAATTACAGTAAATTTCAGTGATGGCCCGTGCCTAAGAGCGATGGAACACAGACCCAATCAATAATATAAAACAACCACTATTACAGGATACTACTCTGCCCATTTATTAGGAAGTTAGGTACTAGCATTTTTTTTGATATTCTTAATTTAAAGACACAGGTAATGTTCTTAACTAATATAGATAAAGCCAACTCATATTTTAAAACCGTAAAAATGCATTTGCGGAATCCTAGTAAATACGAGTATAAACATTTGTTACTTTATTTTTATAACTTAAAAACGTTTACAGTGTTTGGCACACTGTTACTATATTATAACTCGTGCACTTACATTTTTTATGTACAAATAATTTGATAAGTAGGCCAACATACCAAAACAATTACATATTAGTATATTAATTATTATTATCTTACTTCCTATATAATCGTCGTTATATCCAGAAGCTCTCTGAATTTGCAAGTCTGTGGTAAAAGTTTTTAAAAAATAGTTTTATACAAAAATGTACTGAGTTAGTCTGTGTGATTATAAAATATTACTTACTTGTAAGTTCAACCATATTTATATATTCTGCTGTAAAGAAAAATTAAATATAATTTTTTTCGAATTTTACCTTCCATGTGTGGGTAAGTATAAAAATTAAATACTTACTTATACTTATACTCGCCACAACATTTACGCAGATAAATGATAATAAAATACAAGAAATTTTCATTTTTAGCTAGAAAAATTAATAAACATAAATGCAATTTTTATAAAGTTTAGGCTCTCCCGGAGTGGTCGAGATAAGGAGGTTTTGGTTATACAGTCATGTACATATATACACAAGATAGCTTGTATAGACCGAGAAATGGTTTTTGTTATTTATCTAGTTTATATTTCGTTTAGTAGGCTTGCCATATTTTTTTTATCTATCCATGCGGATTTTTTTGCAAACATTTTCATTATTTATTTGTAAAAAAATAATGTTTTTGACAAAAAGTCCTTAGAAAATGTATTGTATGTTATTAATTTTAATCTTATTTTTTTTGAAAAAAATAGGTATTCCAAAAATTTAAAAACTAACTAAAAGGTAAAGCGTTCTGATAATACCATTAATTTTTCAAAAATGTTAATAAACTTAAAATACGAGATAAAAAATAAGTTGAACTTGAGGTGTGTTTTAAAGATACTAAATCAAAAGTTAAAAGTTTTCATCATAATTGCGCATTTCAAATTTAAGTACATTATGTTCGTCTATATTTCGGTAGTACAAGAAAAAAAACATATTTTGCAGCCTTACGTTGCCAGTTTATTTGCAAAGGTGTTATGTATCGATGCCGAGCTAGTATGACTATGATGCTTGTTTTTTTATTGTATCAGCAAACACGACAATATGTTTTAGTATGGCCTGATTAACTTTAGATATCCGAAATTTTGAGCGACTTTGTTAGGTTTAAAGTAGAAATAGTAGACTTTTGCGCTCCCACAACCCAGAAAAATCTAAAAAAAAAATTGTCCGTTTTTCAACTTTCAACGTTAACTTTTTAACGAAAAAGTGTCAAATTGACACAAAGTTGTTTTTGAATATTAATCAGGTATACCCTTTTATACACAAGCATCCTCAAATTAAAATTTCAATAATTCTGCACTACTCCGCTGGATTTAGCTTTTAAAGAATGGTATTTGATTTTAAAAATATACATTGCATAAAGAAACACATGGACTTGTAAGTATAATATACCATATAGAAAATATAATTTTGTATACTATCTTAGACAAATGTATTTAAAATTCACACGTCCCTGTTTGAAAGCATATTTACTTTTGAAGTCCGATAGTATTACTTACTTATGGACTTAATGAATCGAAGGTTTAGATGCGGATAAAAAATATTCTATTAAAAAACACAATGAAATTGTACAGATTTAACATATTTTTAAGTTTCGTTAAAAATACTTACTTAAACAATTGCAACGATAGTTAAACCGGCTGCTTCAATGGTTTTCCTACGACTTGTCGAATGGCATCTGTTATGTGGACCGAAACATTGCAATGTAAATATGTTTTACAGTTTTGTTTTTGCGAATACTATTTTTTGTTATGACTAACATATTTACATAATTCGGAAGCGGAGTTTAAACATTTACGAACCAGTTACAGAATTAAAAAAAACAAAAGCCATTGTAGAGGTGGTGGGGCATATTAGACATGGGGAATATTAGGAATGAATCACTTAATTTAAATACATATTTTTTATAAACGTTTTTTTAAAAAATGTTTTGATTTCTCGGATAAAAAAACAATACCACAAATATGTGATATATAAATTGTTAACCGCTATCTATTGGAAATATATGTAATATAATATATATACAGGGTGGTTCTCTTTGGGTAAGACATTCATTTTCTCGGAATATTTTAATATTTTGAACAATATTTTTTTCCAAAATTTTTAGGTACTATATTTTTAAAATTTTTATTACCAACCCTTATAAGCCAATAAAGGGGATTTTTGTATTTTTCAATACCACTATATGTTTTTATATTACATACATTTACAGACAGAAAAAAATAAAAATATGTTAGCGTTTGAATTTTTTATTTTCGTTTATCTGTTTATTAGCTATAACTTTATATAAAATACACCAATCACAATAAAAAAAAATCAAATATTCTTACAAATTAGGAAAGTGTTATTTTTGTGTTATTATGGAACACCCAAACGTGTGCCCGTTTGCCTTACAACAATAAATATAACAAAAATCCCGTTGGACTAAAAACATTTTATAATTAGTTGCACTTCTTTCAGTTCTAGTTACATAAAAAAAAGGAATATTAAAAATGATTTGCCGTCCCTGAGAAATCGCCGCCCTAAGCACTAGCTTACAGTGTTTACTGAGAAATACAGCACTGGATATAATAAGACTGATTATAAAGCCTTTAAAGAAAAATATGGTGAATTCACACATTTTAAATCAGAAAGTTAATTAAGAACAGCTGAATCCATTTATTTTTATTTCATAATCAGTATTTTCTTATACAGGGTGGGGCGGAGCCAACTGACGAGTTTTAAGGGGCTATAAATTACAAACAACAAAACTTAGATAAAAACGGTTTGTTTTATTAAAATCATTATCAAATCCCGTTTTTTTAAGTTACGTTTATCACAATGTGAATAAACAGAATTTTTGATACTGGGCTAAAAATAACCCACGGAAACTCCATGAAAGACCATTCTACTCCACTTAAGTGACAATGTCCCAATTTGGAGTGATCGGGCGGTACTTTTTTGAGGAGGACAACAGGACTGTCACTGTCACTTCGGCGCGATATGTTCTAATTTTGGAAACTTAACTGCAGCACTGGTTGGAGTAAATGGATGAAGAATATGACTTAGGAGATGTATGGTTTCAACTAAATGGGGCTACAGCTATTGTTCGTAATTTATAGTCCCTTAAAACTCGTCAGTTGGCTCCGCACCACCCTGTATTTATTTTTATCACTAATTATCTTATATTTAATTTCTGAAAAATCAGTAGCGTTGTAGATTCTAAAATAACAAGACTAATCTTATAGACCCGGGGGGAAGTAATAGCCCTACCATGCTAGTTCCCTCCCCCCGAGACGTAATTAATGCATGTGGTAAAAAAAAAACTTTAATTTTTTTTTAAAAACATTTCTACTATTTACTTGATTTACTGAATTCATTTAAAACAAATGAATAACATTACTATGTTTTAAAGAGAAAATAATTGTATATTAATAAATTTGATATAAAATACATCTGTGATATCTAATACCTGTTTTCAGTTATAGCTAAAACTTTATGATCAAATTTCTGTAATGTATGTTGGACACACAACATTTGGATAAGGTCATTATAAGAAATAACTAAACTGAAATCAGACATTTGAACTACCCTAGATAAATTTAATCGAATCGTAATAATATACTTACATAGGTTTTTAAATAGATGTGTTGAGTAATATTAAACTCACATACACAAATTCAGGTATCAATAATTATTCAATGTTAATCACAACATAGCACACTTTTCACTTTTCACTTTTGCCTAATATTGATATATCACGTCATTCACATGAATATTGTCGCGATAGAAATTAATGCTTTTTATTTATAAATTACACCTTGATATATAATTGTAAGGTGTTGAGTTCAATTGAAAATGGATTTCCATAGTAATTGATATGGTTCGTTCTCAAAAGTCAAAATCATTAAGCCGTTGATAATTTTGGCATAACATTGGTTAACGATGAAATGTTTTCGGAAAAAAGGAAAATTAAACCTAAATTAAAAAACGCTAGTTGAATTCGTACTGTACTAGATAACTTATTGAACTCAAACACACTTACCGATTAAATTAATGATGTGGCCAAGAACGAAACGTCAAAAATAAAGTAGACAGAACATATTATCAAACGATATATATATATGTATTTATGTCATATCACCCTGTACAGTCTGACTGGAACTTACTTACCATCCTCTCCCATTTAGGTAACCGATCTGGTCATGAATAGTCTACTTTCGGTCAAAATAAAACCATAGATACGCAACAATAATAATTATTCGCAACAAATATGTTTTAAATCACGAGGAAAAGAGTTTATTTTAGAATTTAATTTTTTTTTTGCATATATGACGAACAGCTGATGATTATAAATATAATAATGCTAATATTATTGATAACTAAACAACAATACCACACAATAATACCAATAAACAAATATATGTAAAAAAAAAAATATTAGAGCGATTTGCTAAAATTATTCATTCATTTATACTAAGGTATAAACTCAGGTGGAATTCTTAAATTATCTTGTAGTTGTGCAGTTAGTAATTTTATTCGACTATTAGTGTCTTTTACTTTTACTTGGTGATATATGCCTTTAAATGGTCTGTATTTTACAATATTTTTTACTGTATCCCGAAACATTTGTACTTCACATACATCAACGTTGTTTATACAAGACGTGTTTGAAGTCATTATTAGACTAACCCATAATCCTATCAAAACACAAATCTTATAAACAGGATACGTCGTCTTCTTATAATCCATTTGGAATGCAGCTAAAAAATCAGAAAACAGTTGTTAAAAATGCCAATTACAACTTGTTAGCACATTATTTTTCTTTTTTGTGCAAGACGCAATTACTAAACGTAAATAAAACAAGTTATATCATTATATATAACAATATGTGTAATAGTAAAAATCTCTTAAAAATCTTTTTGTTTTATTTATTTTTAGCATAAATGAGTTTTATATTTTATAAATATTTTTTTTTGTATTCCCTAAAATTTAAGAATTTTTTTTTAAAAAGCTGAAAAATTGTGGGATAGTTAGGGTATAGTTATTTTTCAAGCTATTGACAAAACGGAAGGGAGGGAAAATTAATTTAAAACTAATTATCCAAAACTAATTCTCGACCAGCAACATTAGCAGTAATTTATTATTGTTATAAGAGTTCTTGACAAAAATTTAAACGTTATATTAAATATTATGTATGTTACTAAGTATTATAAAATAACAAAAAAAACTACAAATTTTTAATTAGTTGAAAAATATTGGCTGTGTGAAGTAGCCTATAAACTACTGTGTTATCCATAATGAATAATGCTGTAAAATATATATGTTGTTGAAAAATAAATAGCATTAAAATTCTATATTTATAATCACCTAGTTTTTGGGTAAGTACATTTATTATAGCGATTCCAGTAATAAGTCTTCTCGTCTTTCCAAGTGCGATCAATTTTTCAGTTTCAAGATCTGCATAAATGTATGTATAAATAACTGGTTTGAAAATATAATATTTAATAATATATCCGTATTTATTTTTAAATTAAATGTCTTAATAAGTACAAACAGAGTGGGAAGGAACGAAAAAATATATGGTAATTAGAATATCAGGAGCATCGATGGAGCCTAAAAGTGGTGAACAAATAAAATAGAGATCAGATTTTAGTAAATAGGTGTATGGGCTCAAAAAGTATTACACAATGTATTTGCGCAATTTTTATCTGGTCCATTATATAGTAAGGGTGTCAAATTATTACTCTATTCTAGAACCCCTAGAAAAGTCACCCCAACTTAAAGTGAATTTTTGTTTGAACAAAAGGATATATAAAGCAAATGTTATCTTTCAAACAAGCTATAAGTTGTATTTACTACTAACTAGTAGGTGTGTAAGCTCTTTTGTACTCCTCATCATCAGTACTAGCTATAACAAAAAATAAATAAATTATATAGTAAATCGAACCTGTTTGTTATATTTATCTGTATCTCAAAAATGAGACAATATTTACCAATTAATGAATGCAAAATATAGTATTACATAAAACGAATGTCTTTTAAGGCCCTTTTAGCTATCGCGTTTGTTAAGATTGTAATCTTTGTAAAAATTTAAAGATTGTAATGTAAAAAACTTGTAATTACTTTGGTTTCCACCATCAGCCGCCATAAGACCTTTACAAATAATATAAATAATTGATTTAGTTAAACAAACCCGGTTGTTATATTTTTCCATAACAGCCACTCTAAAAATAAAGATACTTAAACAAACTAATCGAAGCTAAGTTAAATAACACAAAATTGATCTCTAGCAACGTGTGAATGCCTTCATCACTCATCACACTGAATTTTATAATAATCTAATTTTTTATGTATAGTTGTTTCTGCTTCCTATTTAGTTTGCTACCGCATTTAAGTGTTTTAAACATTTACTTTACGGTCAATATTGTGTACAAAAAAAAATATATAAAGAATCGTTATTTCAAACAAACAATAAATTTTATTTACTATTAACGAATAACTTTGTAATTACTTTGGGTTTCTTCCTCATGCGAAGTACAACCTTTAACGAAAAAATAATAGTTTCAATTAATCAATACAAATATAGTATTAACATAGAGCCGATAAAGCCCCCCCCCCCCACGCTAAAAACAAATTTAAATATATGTGTAATATTGTAAAATAAAAAATAAAA